TGTTGACTGCAGTTTCGACTTCGCCTATGTCTCATCAACACCCCCAACGGGACTCGAATCATAATAGTGCAGCATGTTAGCTTGACACTTTAACCACTCAGCCACATTGCTACGAATGCTCTTGGGTCACAGAGCAGATGTGAATTTCAAGGAAGGTCAGGCCTTTTCCCATATCACATTCTTTGGTGGGATTGTCGATAAAGCAAACATATTTTTGCTATAACAATCGACTAACTTATTTTTCGTATATAAGCAGAGTTTTGAAACTACCAGTAAATCAGTTGTTGACTCATATCATTGTGGGAAAATTCTACTATCAGTTCTCTATCACCTTAAACGAAATACAGTGAGTACATCTCATATACATATTTTATTTTGCGTCTGTTCACTCACGCTGCCTCATTTTTCGAGACTACCAGTAAATCAGTTTGTTGGCTCTATTCATATCATTGTGGGAAAATTATTCTACCAGTCCTACATTACCTTAAACGAAATAGGGTCAGTACATCTAATATACCTATTTTATTTTCTTTGCTCCCTCATGCTATAATCTTTCTTTACTTTAGTGTCGTTCTATATTTGTCAGCGGTTCCCCTTTTCCTTCCGTTCGCACTCCTGATGGTCAGGAATATTATCCCAGTCAGGGCAACAGCTGTTATATCTTTCCTGGTCTGGCTCTAGCACTAACCTGCACCGGTATTCGACCTGTCAGCGACCAAGTTTTCTTACGAGCCGCAAAGGTGATTTTTTTAAAGACTCCCATCCTACTTAATTTCCCCATGTTTCACTTTATTTTTTTTCTCTGGCTCCACTAACTCTGGGGGGCTACTAAGTTGACATTTACTTTAATTAGAAGTGGGGACACAATCAATATGCATTTAGGCTCTAGGTAAGGTGCTTAATACCAGTTGCAGCTTGATTCAATGGAGCAAGGACTTCACTCATGCAACAAGGGTGCTTGATAAAATTTAGTTATCAGTGTTAGTTCGACCTCGTTTTTGCAACTTGGTCGGGGGATTAGATGGGAGTGTCAAGTTGAAGGGCGAGATGAATGTGTTTTTCGCGATTCCGCAGGGGAAAAGGGGAAGCGATGCATTTTCTCAAGCGGTTATGAGTTCAGCTCGACACAGGGCCCCAAAGAATGAGCTAGAATTCGCGTACGGATAAGAAACAGGATTACTGAGTCGTGGGTCTGAAGCTAAAGGAGAGGAAGATTCCCAAGCATGGGCATGTGCACCATCTGTACTAAATCCTCAAATATGGCCTAATTGGGAACAAGAATTGGCTCTTAGGCAGCCAGATTTCGGACAGACATACAGTGATTTTGATTTTTAGTAGCGACCATTTGACAAGCGGGGAGTCTAAGTGGTGATCAGGAGCCCTGAAAACGGCATCTGTTACTGGTGGTACCGATGATTGAGCAAGAGGATTCCCTTCATTTATCGCTTTGATAAGTTGTAACTGTGCTGATGATAGTACTTCTCACTGATGATGCCGACGAAACGTTTGGTAATGTACTACGTCAATGGTCCGATGCTGGAAATCACGAATACTATGGTGAGGACATAGGACCAGGTACATCTCACAAGGTTTCTTTGACGCTTCGACCATATTGCAAAAACGACGTCGGACCAGCACTATAAAACTAAAGGAGACTACGATCAAACAGACGGCCACACCATTTTGGTCTTCATAATTGCGATCTAGTTATTAGCCCTACAAAAATTCCTGCCAAGAGTTTATTAGCTATTTGAAAACATAACCGAGAATTCTGGGCGAGGGTTTGGGGCACAAGAGCCAGAACATGAATGGTAATGAAAGAGCGGATTATTCTTAGCCATATTTGATTTAGCTATGTTCTTGTTTTCGCAAATTGATCATATTTGCAGGAATACCTAGAGAAAAGCATCTTGTCCGGAGTCCATAGTGTGCATGCTAATTTCCAGAGTCGGATCATGGACTTGGTACATTCCCGGGTGTCATTTCTGCATCGCTGTCAATTAAAGGAACGACCTGTAATTAAATATAACTCTGGTCGGTAAAACTTATGAGTTTCAATAGAATCTCCTCTATTATCCTTACTGTTTGGCAAAGCAAAGTTTAAACCTTTTAAGAGCATTTTCTTGATGGTAAAATAAAACCCAAGAATAAGAGAGTGCAAAGCACCATAAGGAAATCGGATGATGAAGACCAAATGGTGTTGAGGCAGACAAAGGAGAAACAGTGGTAGTTATGGCTAGGTTAAGGTATGTAGAAAAAAGGATGCAGGCTTTGGACGACACTATCACATACAGGGTAATCGGTAGGGACCCTACAGAAACCCTTACGTCTAGACTCAGGGGTGTATAACAAACGGGGAACTGGAGAAGTGGAAGATGAACAAGCTTTTTCAACGAGATGTTAGGCCTCCGAACGCATATGGTCTGCCCAAAATACATAAAGATGGAGTGCCATTTCTAATTATTGTCAATAATAAGGGAAGTGTGATGCATAGAACATCACGATTTATTTGTAACCAGTTAAAGCAAATCTCCGAGACGTGGAATTTTTCGGCCAAAATTCTTATGAATTCTTTAACTTAGTCAACGAGCAGGAGATAGAAAGTGAGGATTTGCTGGTAGATTTTGATGTCGAGTCTAGGTACACTAACATTCCTCTAGACGATGCCATACAGGCCCCGCAACCCATACTAGATCGACTTTAGGAGATTTTATGGAAAACGAAGTTAAGTAAAGGGCTAATAATGATACTGACCAGCCTAGCGATGTAATGTACATATTTCATCTGTAATGGTAAACTGTACTAATAAACACGAGGTTTAGCTATGGGGTCGTGTTTGTCACCAATTGAAGCAAATATTTGCATGGCCCAATTTAAGGGATGCTTAATTCAGGAGGCACTTTTAGTTCCTAAATTATTAGTTCGCTATATGGCAAAGAAAACCTGTTAAATTTTCTTTGTTTGATGAACGGGATTAATGGGAAGACGAAATCCACCATCGAGTTAGAATGGGAAGGTGGTTTACCTTTTATTGAGTTCCTGGTTAGCAAAGAGGGGACCAGATTAGGTAGAGATGTGTATAGGAAACCGACAGGTTTCTTTTTGAATTTCTTTTCCAACCGCACTTATGAGGTTAAAGTAAGCGTTATGAAGTTTATGATAATAAGGAGCCTGAGTCCGGGTAGGTTTGTCTAATGCCAAACGCTTAGCTGGATATGGAAACTATAACAGTAAGCGAAAAATTAGGGAGGCGATAGAAATCAAAAAAACAGCCAACGCTCTAAATAGAAGGAATGAGTGTAGGAAGTTAAGCGGAAACTACTTATTACTATTGGATAGGCTTAGAGAGAGTAAGGTGGGAACAAGAGGTACCACCGAGCAAGAGGAGGAAGCTTGCTTAGGTTGGAATATGGTTTTGACTCACATCACACTCATTTCAAGAGCAATGCATTCACACAGCACGCGTGCAATAGGACGCAGTCACATGCGGTAACATTGCAGGATCAAAGGCATACGTGTTTTAGGGGAGGATGCAGATGTTAGGTTTCAATTGCATCCATTTCACGCAGCCACTTAACTTAACCTATGAGCAAATATAGATGCAAAATATAGGATATCCAACCAAAACATGGGATGCATAAGTGGACCAAATTGGACTGTAAGTAGGAAGTGGGTTTGAAGCTGGCCATCTTTCTTGTCTTCGTGTTTTTGGTGAATTATCGTTAAGCATGGTGTCCTCTGACGATGTCCGTCACATGACGAACGAAAGCTCAGCAAGGATTCATCGGAGTCGCTGGTCGTTGCGCTGCGGCCTATTCGCACAAATCTACCACTACGGCTCTAAGCCAACTCTCCCCACAGCCTCCGGTTGAACCAGCTTACGAATCCTTTCCATTCGCCTTTTTAAACGAAATTAAAAATCAATCTATTAAGGGATCTTTCGAAACCCAGTTTTTGTACATACTTTTTATTACCATATTTTCTTCGCCAGAACATTTAAAATATAATATTAGAAACTCTTATTGTATACTAAAAATCTAGAATATACTTTAATTCCTATTTGCTTGATAGTTGGGATCTAATTTCTCTATCTGTTTTTATTTGATTATTTTATTTTATATACTACCATCAGACTTTAGCGAGTCTTGTCACTGATGAGCATCTTTCTCAAGGCAGAATCTATCCTCCATTATCCGATCTGGGGAAGGTTTCACTGAAAATTGCCATCGCTCTTGCTGAGGATGCATTTAAATCTGGAACTGCCTCCTACCATCCGGAGCCTAAGGATAAGGCTTCCTTCATCAAGCGTAAAATGTACAACTTTGGCTATCTCGACTTTACCCCTGAATGTTATTCCTTTCCTTCCTTTCCTGATGCCAGTTAGTTCAAGAGCCTGATTTGTCTCAGCCTGGCTAATTCAATTATCACACAATTTGATCCAGCATAACAGCTTATGAAATGTGTGAAAATATTGAAAGCTCAGAAATCTGTGAAAGTCTTTATATTTCATTACCCATTGTCATTCGCATTTTTCGCCCAATAAAGTGGACGATTTGTTACTGCACCTATATCTGGTGAGCCCACCTATATTGCATGATCTCGTCTTTTCGCTATAAGCCAAAGATTATTTGTTTACTTTCCTTTTGATGTTGATGTTCGCGGGAAATATCTCAAATATGATCTCTATTGCCCGCCAATCACGCTAAGATATCTGACTATTATTAAAGTTGAAATATGCACTTTTATTTGTAATTGTTTTCGCTAATGAACTTTTCACTATCATCTTGTTTGTCCTTAGGAGCTTAAAATGTTTTAATGCATCCCTCGTTTTTATCTATCTAATAAAATATTGTTTTTCCCTACGTTTAGGTTATGGTACTTAATATTATGCGCTTTGGCCTAATATTCCTTCTCAATGATAAAATCCACATCTATTGTAATAGTGCGTTTCTTTCGAGATCATCAATTTTGCAAACGCTGCGCCTTATGCCTTGTCTGTGATCTTTCCACTAATGAGACGAGACAAAAATTTAGCCAAGTTTAGAATGAGGAATATAGGGTTGCTTCTGTGTATGCACTTGATTGGACTGAGTTCATGATTGTGGCTGATTTTATGCTCCTTAAAATTGCTCTTAAAAATGAGTGAGATGTTAGAGTCAAAACCAGATCCAAGCCTCCATACTTATGGGGTTATAGTAGTAGTTATGAAGTCTATGATAATAAGAAGCCTGCGTCTGGAAGATGTTAATAATCGGGAAAAGGAATAGAGAAGTATAAGGAAAATTCTAATTAAGAACAATTATTCACAAGGACTGATTGACAATTATTTTGTAATATTGTCAAATAGGGTAGAGGGAAATATGTATCTGGGGCTAGATAAAAGGTTAGACCATCCTAGCTGAGTCCTTACTCTGCCATCGGGTAATGTCGAAGAAAAAAGGCGAAGAGGTGGGACATCAATATTATTTTTAAAGATAAGATAGCACGTTTCTTGGTAGTGCCTTCTTTTCGAAAATATTCTAATTCTATCTTCACATCGTACTGTTACACGATTTTGTTTTCATGCGGTAAAGCCTCTGTAGGATAAACCTGTAGGCCCATGCATAAGAGGTTATCTGAACACAAAACAGCCTGCAAGCGTCTGTTGGTCCAAAATTCGGAATTGGCCTAACACAGGAGACAAGATAGACTGGCTCAATGCCAAACATTCAGCTGGATATGGGGACTATGTCGGTAAGCTAAAGATTGGGGAAGCGATAGAAATCAACAATACAGCCAACACTGAATGGTAGAAATGAGTGTAGGAAGTTAAGTGGAAACTACTTGTGGATGTTAGGTAGGATTATAGGGGGAACGAGAAGTACAACCGTGAAAGCGGAGGCTTGGATCTTGTTTTGACTCTAACATCTCACTCATTTCAGGAGCAATGCATTCACACAGCACGTGTGCAATGGGAAACAATCACGCGCGATAGCAGTGCAGGCTTAAAGAAATACGTGTTTTAGAGGATGCGGGTGTTCGGTCACAATTGGATCCGTTTCGTGCTTCATCCTAAGCTACTTCATATGTCATCCTCAGCCACTTAATTTAACTTTCAGCAAGCATTTAGGCATAGCAGAGAATATCCACCAAAACTTGAAATGCCAAATTTATTGGACCATTTTGGACTATAAGAAGTAGGTTAGGGTTAAGGCAACATTTCTTATCTTTGTGTTTTGGTGAATTCTCGTTAAGCATGATGCCCTGCTCTGACGATTTCCGTTGCATGATGGACGTGAGATCAGCAAGGATTCATCGGGGTCGCATGGTGGTGCGCCCAGGGCCTATTTGCACGAATCTAGTCACGACTACAAGGCAATCCCTATTTACCTTCCTGTGGGACCAATTTACGAACCTCTTCTACTCCCATATTCGTGCGAAATGAAAGGTTCTCCAATATCTTGCTCTTTGATAGCTTGTGTCATCCTAAGACCTAGATTATATTTTAGTTTAACTCGCGATATGGCCGCTCTTTCTTTCGATTTTATTGGCCTTGAAATCTGCTAGTGGTCAACCATTAGAATACCTAATAAGATTGGTATTGTCATAATTGATCAATTTTCTTTCCGCTCAAAACTATCGACACAGGCATAGGGTACATTCTTTCCTCGCTTTTTTTAATGGCGTTGGAATAACTGGTCTTGTTATCTTGCTCTTTGTTGTTTTCGTCTGTTTGCATGGCTTAACGGTCTTATAGCCTCAAAGGCGTTTCCACGATCGGTGACTCTGCTAGGGGTCATTTCTAATCGCAGTCTAATTTGTCTTCAACAAAGTATAAGTTCACAAATATCTGAGAGGTTCAGGTGTCGAGACTGTCCTTAATTTTCTTTGGTCTGAAAAAATAAAATGACATTCAAATGATTCGGCGCTAAAGAGGTACAGGTTAAATTCTAATTCCAGAGTCTTCATATGGACTTTCATAATACCAGATTTACCTAACGTCATTCCTTGTATCCATTTCTGGAGGGGTCACCAACTCTGCCTGGGCCCCGTAAACACCTACCTCACCGACACAGCATCAAACAGATGGATCTGCGCAAAACCAGCTCCAGTATTCAGGAGGGACAATTTTGCGTGTAACGAATGTTTTGGAATGTTTCCTATTTACCAAATCCCATAGTCCACCGTGGTTGGGCAAGCCACACAACGATTCGTCATATCGAGATCACTAGTCCAGTTTTTAATATGCGAAGAAAAGATAAGCTTCGAAGATCCGCTTGTTATAGAATTGTTGAGCTTAATTCCATTTCGGGTGAAATGTTTGGCGAAGAGCTCCGGTAGTAAATTCCACCAGAGGACGACGGCGGATTCCTCTTGACCAGCTATCGATTTGCTTTACTGGAACATTCTTGTTGGCGCTGTTTCGAGGTAATCTCATTTGATTACGGTGAAAAGAAACCATCATTCATATGATGAACATCATCAGAGCAAGATATCATCGTCACTGGTTTCGTGCATAAGCTAACACAAATAGGCACATACACTTGCTTCGGAGTTGACATATAACCGTAACCAACCAAATAACTTTGTAGAAATTGTTTTATAATGGAAATGGAGAGCGAGCAGTCTCCATTCTTGGTGACAAAGGTCATTAATTACCAGTAGATTCTTTAGAAAATACTATTTAGAAAGAAATCCAACACGAGAATAACCCTCAATTATTATAATTACGGACCGAAAATTGGAATTCAAGGCAGTAGGATTATATAAAGCCTAAGACTAACACCTAATACTTTCGGTAACGACGAACTAGGATATGTCTTAGAAACGCATATCCAAAGGAAATTATAATTAACTATAAAGGTTGTGATTAGCAAATGGCAGAAGGGGAATTATGAAAGTAAAGCGCTTGATTGATATGCCTAAAGTTTTTGCCAACTGACCCGGAATTTGCAGTCATTGCTAATGGAACTGAACATTCGACGATCCTGAAGGAAATGGCAACAATCTTCACACGCTTGCTAACAGAAGAAAAAAGATTCTACAAAATAGAATGCTCTGGAGTGCTCTAAAATTTAGTAAATCAGCTTCGAAGAATGTAAATTAGAGTACTTTTTTTAGAGACTAGAATTGCAAACAGAACGAGGATTAACGAACACCAGTGATTGCATAGCCATAGATACTGAAAGATTTTAGGCAGCCGATTACATTGCTCTGACTGGTCTCGCCATTGGCTGGAATGCAAAAGAAAGACTGGCAACATATTGGTAGAACACAAGAAAACGGAAGATCAGGGAATAAACTTAATGGACAGGAGATTAGAAGAGGGAAAAGTCAGCGATAAGTTTGCTTACTGTCTAGACAGACTTGGAGAAATTTGGGCTCTAGCAAAGACAGCTAAAAGGAGATGCTTCGATCAAGTAGGTTTGGCGAACAACAAGAAGAGACATAGCCAGGAAGTTGATCTTGAGGAACAAACGAAGTCATAAGAGGGTGATTATTGGAGAAGAATCATATTTTGGAAAAGCTTCCCAAAATTGTCAGGGTGGTTCCACCTGGGGAAAAAATGAAGGTTCATAAACGTCTGAATAATATAT